GAATTATTGGGGGGTAATTACCCTTTATTACCCCCTCCGTATGCACATTTTTAATCTAAATAAATATGCATTACGTTTTTTCCAAACAATATATTATAATTGTAGAAAAAAGAATCTAGAATATAAAAGAAAAAAACAAATATATCGAAACCTGTATTTCAACATATATGTATATCGAAATCTGTTATTTTAAATATTTTGTAACGATAGTATAGCGTATTTTTAAAACAGAAAGTCAACATTGAAGTGTTTTTTTTATATAAGCGACCAGTAACTACTTATTTACTCTCATACGGACTATGATAAAAATAATATCGACGAATTAGTTTTTCAATATCCTGAGCAAATATTTCTTAATTAATACTGATAAGATTAAAAATATTTTAGTCATATCATAACCCGTCAATTGAAATGGAATTTTATTTTTATTATTTTTGAATTTGTCTTGTACCAAAAATCCTAAAATGTTGACAAAAATTTTCATTCTAATTAAAAAATTATTTAAAAACAATATTTAAGAAGTAACTTTGGCTCTGGATGATGCACAAATAGGATAAATGCAGTAGAGTACCTAAGTCCATATTATTTTAAAACTAAACCATACTTGCAGATATTCATATGAATGGTTTTTTTACGATTTTACCACATTATATACATTATTTTTATATAAACCATGGTAATGACGGTTTAGAGATTTGGGTATTGGTCTTTTATACAGGGTAGATCTAAAAAAACTCCATATAATTAGTGGAATACCAGTTTTCTGACTTCATTGGATAGATAACAAAAAGACTGCTATAACGAGGCCATTGTTTTTAACATGAGTATACTCTTTTATGACGTCATTACTATTCGATTTATAATTAATCGGTTCTTCTCGATTAAACTATTATTTTCAATTAATCAACTTATTTTATTAATCGATTATTTTTAATTCAATAGTTTGTTTTCAATTAATCCATTTTTGATTAATCGATATTTTTCAATGATAATTCCTAGTCCTAGTATGACGTCATCATCTGTTTTAACATCTAATTTTGTGTTAATAGATATGGATTAATCGATTTTTCAATTAATCGATTTTTTAGATCAATGGACTGGTTCCAATTAATCCATTTTCGATTAATCGATTTTTTCTCGATTAATAGATTTTTTGCAATGAATTGATTTTTTTAGATTAATCGATTACTTTTAATTAATCGATTGTTTTTATTAATCGATTGTTTTTATTAATCGATTTTTTCGATTTATCAATTATTTTTGATTATTTTGATAATCGTAACTCTATTTATGACGTCATCGTCTATTTTAACATTTAATTTTCTGTTATATAAAAATGTTTGTTGTATATTACCTATATTGTTACGAAAGCTAAATAAAATTGATGTTTACATTAAAAAAAAACCTGATTACGTCATATCTCGATTATAGATAACGTAATAAAAAATATAAATGCATCAAAACATATAAATCTAAAAAATTAAATCCTAATTTTTGTTACTGTCCAATAAGACATGAAATCGAGTGATCATGTATGTTTTTTTTTAAAAAAAGTAACTTTGTAACGCCTCGGTATTTTTTCCACAACTTCGTAGAATTTTGAATCTTCAAATTTAATTACCGTACTCAAATTTTTTAGTGTTTATATTTTATAACAGGGAATCAAGAATTTTGATTTTACTCGTGACTTTTCAACTTGTCCAAATCAAGGTGATCTTTGTTTAAATTAATCTATTCGCGAATATTTATTTATTTTTATTAAAATATGCGATATAGATATTTTGCTTGTTAAGTTTTGTAAGTTGTATACGTAGATAGCGTACTAACAATTTTTATATAAAAATGCTAATCAGAATGTCTCTGGAATTACGTAGTTTAATGTAATAAAAAAAGTCAATAGGTACGGCAAACCAACAATTCAACGTACGTCCATATGAAAAAAATCCTTTTTTCGAAAAAATTTTTGACATATCAATCAGTACCCGTTCAAAATGCTTTGAGCACAAACTCCCCCTTAAAATATATTCCACCACATAAAGTAAAATCTGTATAATAATAAAAAATAAATAATTTTCAAAAAATATGTCGATCATCGTTAATTCCAAAGACAGATAATACACACATGCGCATCTCAAGAAACATTCTCTCATTCACACACCCAGTCACCTCAAATTGGTCTTAACTAGCAGTCTCAAATATTGAGCATTTATTGGCTCTGCACGACGTGTCATACGTATTTTTAACTTTAATTCGAAATTCTACTTCGATGATTCAAAGTGGCAACTAACTCAAACTATACGAGGGGAATTCTAAAAGAAGTCGTTCAAATAAATCAATTTTAAAATATTTAAAACAAAAAAACTCAAAAATAAGAAGTTAATAAAATTCAGTCGCATGTGATTTCAGTAGCGATATTGTATAGTGAACGCTTTCTCTTTCGAGCCTATCCTATAGTAGAATACTACAAGTGTAGATAATGACTCATGTTGTAAAGAAATTTGTTAATTATTAATTTTAATTATAATTAAAAAAAGAATCAATTTAGGATTCATCCTGTATAGTCTGAAGCATTTTATTTTGTTATATTATTATTCTATTAACTTGTTTTTGTGTAATGTACCTTTTAAATTGTTTAATAAATTATAAATTTGAAATATTTAAATAGTCACCACTTTGTATTCAAAGAAAACTTTGGTTTTACTTCTATTACATGTCTATAAGAAGAACTAAAGAAAAAAATTGACAAGATCACTCCTAAAACAACTGAAATTTCGTAATCGCTTCAACCGAAAATGATAAAAAAATGTTTTTTAAAAAAGACCAACTCAAGCGACTTTCCTCAGCTCTGGACTAGATAATACTGGAGACCCGCGGTGGTTACTGGTGCCCAGCCTTTAATTTTCCTACTATGCAGCAAGCACTTAGTTGCCTAAGTCCAACGCATAGTCTCGGGCCAAAATTACCACGAATAATTGAAGAACAACCACAACAGAATTTTTCTTAATGTTGCGGTACAATTTTTAGAAAATGCTGCGGTACCTTCATAAAAATTTATGATTAAAAATTACATAGTAATAAAAAAAAAAAAAAATTGAGGAACTTGAAATGAAAACAAAAAAATCTAATATTTTGACAGTTGATCACCTGTCAGGTATGTTTCTTTAAAAATATTTATCATATTGAGATTAATTAATGATATTTTCTACTAAAATTTCAATTTAAAACAATCTTTAACAAATTTATTACGTAAACATTTTACGTAGAATAAAAGGCATTAATAGAACAATGTCAAAACATTAGAAATTTAAAAATAATTTCTATTTTTCAATGTCAAATAAGGTACTGCAGTTTAGTAACTGATATCCCTTGCACTATTAAACTATTTTAATAAAGAAGTTCCAGTATCTATTAGAACCTTACACAATTTCTAATAAACAAGCAACTTAAATACGAAATTTCCTCAAAACTGTTCGTAAATAGTCGTATCCTTTTTACAAGAAATTTCAGGAAACGTATGTATATGATGTTCATTCATTTTTAAAGAAATAAATCAAGCCCACGCGTAGTTTCGTTAGAATACTACAAAATTATACAGACATTACATTTTGGAGAAGAGTAACACCCACGTGAATGTAAAACGGGCGATATCTGACAAGTTCCAACCTACGTACTATGCGTCTTCAAATGTACATAATAGTTCAATTATTTTAAATTTTGCTTCAGAAAGGTAGTCACGTGGTCACTAGTTATTATAATATGAGGATCGTTCTGTAAATTTTTAGAAAATCCGAAAGGTGATGCTCGTAGCATCGATTGTTGATTGAAGAAAAAAACTATTTAAAAAAATATACACCTGTGTGTAATTTCGATGGTCAAAATCATGGAATTAAATTTCGAATTATTACATCTATCTTAGTCACCGGATATTCCCAGATTTTTTTTTATTTAAAAAGAAATTGATTTGTAAAAAAGCTTGGAAAAGTGTATAGAGAGAGCTAAAAAATTGCTTTTCTATATTCTTTTTTAATAACTTATTAAATAACCCTCGTAGTAGTACGGTGATAATTATTATAAACATTATTTCATTCCCTTTTTTCTAATCTTAATCTTTGATATGTTATAATATAAATAATGTATTATTTTTGTGCGGAACTGAATTTGTTTAGGCCATTAATAGATACTGGATCTAAACCGAAACTTATTAATCAACAAAAATGTAAAAAATCTTGAATTGATAACCGATAACTCTTTTGAATTAAAAAAAGCGAATATTCTGCCGATTTTAAATTGTTGAAACTTCTAATTTCTCAAATTGTCGTAATACGTCAATATTAGTTAAAATTTTAAAAATTGTGGAAGAATTTTCGCTAAAAATTACTAATAATATATAGACTAAAGAGGGGTCAGTTTTTTATACCATTATTTGTCTGGTAAAGAGAAGAAGAATTTAAAATCGTCATTAGGTCTTCTTTTGCATCTAAAGTGTAGCACTGAGCTACGTCCTTTCTGAAATATCGTTCCATTCATACAATTGGTATAAATGGAACGATATTTTCAGAAGCGATGTAGCTCAGAGCTACACTTTCGATGCAAAGGAAAAGACCTAATATCAACCTTTTTTTCGTAAGTTTAAGGTTATGTTCATGACAGTCCGATAAATCTAGTTAAGTGCCATTTCTTTCTCTTAGTCTATCAGCTTTGTAAAACGATAAGAATGAACATCATAGCTTTTTTGCTAAATGACAACTGTTACGACATTTTACCAGATTGTATAATTAAAATTTGTAGTGCAAGGGATAGATTAGAAAGTATAAGAACAACGTTGTTAGTTGTTTTTCAATTATTCAAACCGACTCTTCCATCGAGGGCACTCAGTAGAGAAGCACGGAATATCATTGTTATGAACAGTTAGAAAATACACTTATTTACAAAAAAATAAATTAATAGTGTAATAAAGTTAAAATAGTAGGTACACAAGGGCAGTCGTGAACAATCGCGCACTAAAAATCCGAGCTCGAGTCCAACAATCTTTTCTCGGGGGTGGGTAGAGGCGGCCTGCACCTGCAACCAGTCCTCGAATGACGCGCATAGCACGCTTCCACCGCTCTCTTGCATCCTCGCAGAGGCCAGTAGAGCCACAAACAGGGTAGAACGCACGAAAGGGTGGCCAGGCAGCTCCATCGAGCCGTCCTTCGATCGGGCCCACAACCGCACGGATCGTCCGCACAACTTTCCCCGCCGTCCGTATCGCTGCAATGGTAAAACAGTCCTTTAACACAACACAAACAACTTGCGTAGTCAATAACACTATCCGCGGAGATGAGACAGGAATTGTTGCAGATCCACTTCTGGGGCAGCGCCCTCGGCTGTTGGCAGGACTCGCAGCGGCACCTCCCGCACTCGGGACACATGATGGAAGGTCTGGTGGCGCATTCGGGAGGTGGTTCCTTGCTGAAGGTGGTGGCCGCCGGCGTCGGCTGCTTGCTGATGGTGGGCAGCACGAGCCGGGTGGGCCGGTGACCTCCGCCTCGCGGCGGATGAGGCGGCGGTGATGGCGTCGGTGGAGGCAGGGAGGCCTTGAAGGGTGTCTCCACGTACTCGTTGGTGGCGCGTTCATTTTCCGGCCTGGGAAGGGTCAGAGTGACAGGCGGCGCGGGCCGTAACGGTGCCAATGGGGCCGTAATGGGGGGATTATTCATTATAGGCGCCCGCGGACGGTGAGCGCGCGGCAGGGACGTGAGCCCTCCATGGTTAGCCATGTGGTCGGGATTAACGTCCGAACCAGCCTGCACCGTGGTCCGTCATCGTCTCCAGCTAAAACAAAATAAATAAAAAATGAATTAAAAACCTTATTGTCCAGTCTTCACTTATTTAATAGTTTAATTATTGTCATCTAGTATGAAAAGTAATATTTCCTTTCTAGACAAACAAACAAAAGTCATTTTAAAGATTATTAAATACATTAAGTACGATATTTTTTGCTTCTAAAGGTAACACTAGTTTATAAAATTTAACTTTTTGTCTGTTGCCGCGAATTATGTGGTTGATAATAATGCTGGTAACCATGACTGGTTAACCGGTTCCGTAGACTAAAAAACCGTTAAAGAACGTAACCGGTTTAACCGGAACTTGTTTAACCGGAACTGGTTTAACCGGAACCTGTTTAACCGGAAACAATTTAACCGGAACCGGGTATAACCGTATTTATGTGTACCAGCCACATCAATTTCCAGTGAACGGATTTTTTTCCAGTGCAAGAAACATAGTTTCGGCGAAAAGAAACTGTTTGCTGCCGGAAAACGTTGATAAGTTGATTTTTTTGTTTTACCTACTTACCCACCCAGTGGGAAGTGAGTGACTGTGTCCTTTATTAAATTTTAAATAAAGTTTAGCAAAAATAAAATTGGTAGTATTTCTATTATTCTAATTTAATTTTTATTTAGTGAGTGCCTATTTTAAAAAATCAAGCATGCACTGCTTGGTTGTCACGGGTAAGGAAAGGTGAAATGGTTAGTAAAGTGACCCCAATTCTATTAAAAACAAAGAATTTGGATGTGTTTTGCCACGATCAAGCCGGTGATGGTTATATATAGTTAAACCAGTAACGGATAAACCAGTGTTGGGTTTAAATAGTCACGGTTACAGTCCGTTTCGACTGGCTCGGTTTGATCGGACCTGTTAACTGGATAATCGGACCGGTTTACCGGATAATCTGACTGGTTAACCGGATAATCTGACTGGTTAACCGGATAATCGGACCGGTTAACCGGATATCCGGACCGGTTATAATAATAGTAAAAATCCGGTTAAAACCGAAACCGGTCAAAATCAAACGAACCGGTTAACCGTTTATCACGTCAGGAATTGACAGCCTTAGTTGATAATGTTCACTTATGACTTGTTTCTGTCAAATCTAACCTCAAAATCTTTTGAGCAGCTCAAGTTACTTTGTTTTTGATTTTTATCATATATTAATCGATAACAGGCGTATTTTATTGTGTTAAAGATTAGTATCTGAAGTTTTAATAAGACAAAAAATACTGCCAGAGTACCAGGGAATTAGATGATTTTACTTAGAAATAGTACTTAAAAATTATGTTTATATTGTTAAATAATCTTTCCAAATACATTTTGTGACATTATCTTCGAAAATTATATCATTATTCTTTGTTTTATGAAAAATATTACTCACTGTTTACAAAAACCTATAAAAGAAATGTTTTTTTTTTTTATTTTATTAATTCCAATGAATGTTAATTCGTAAATTTTAATTGCCGATAACTTAACCGGCGAGCAATCGGATAATTTTTATGAGTCCGCTCGTTTTCCTCGGTTCTTTTTTTTTATTCAAGAAGCTTAAGATGCTATAAAAATTGAAAAGACCGAATTTCAAAATATGCTTCATGGAAACTGATAACCGCAACGGTTTTAGTTGATTTATTGACGAGAATTTCGGTCGATGTAGGTAGGTAAATAACATCCTCGCCACTAATAGTATTCAAGGAATTTCGAGTATCATTAAACCAGGGCGTCGAAGGTAAGAGGGCTGGAGGGAAATAAATCAGTTTTTTTTAACAGAAACAAAAATTTTATAGCGATTTTGCTGCGATTAGTGCCACTAAAATGTGTGATAAGCCTTCATCCACAAATGCTATGACAGCAGAACAGACATACATTTCTCAGGCGATAGATGTCTGCTCTCACATACGTTCTGAGCCATTTCATCTTAATAAAGTTATTAAAGTTGGGAATATAATTACAGAAAGCTAATTTTCTAAAACATTCCCCATTTAACCAACCTTCAGAAATTTGAAATTCTATTAGAATCATTAACAAACTACACGTTTTCAATAAGATGCTTTTTCTACAAGCTGATAGATGTCGTTAAGACATCAAAAACCACTTGTATCGTTTTTGCACCAACAAAATAATAGTTTTAAATAACGAAATATGCACTCAACTCATTTAAAAACAAAAATGCCACTTGAACCCTTTTGCTTCTAACCCCTTCATATGAATTTTTGACATGTTCAGAATATAGTAATTTGCACAAGGGCGAGCCTGATATCAGATCGCAATTTACATTATTTTTTCCATTCACTAACTGTAACACAAAGTAGCCTTTTCCGGTTCATAAATTTCAAATAACGTACATAGAGTTAATCGCTTTGCCAAATGTTATCAAAACAACTTTCAAAAGTCTCCGTATCTTATTTGTATCGCTGATAAAATTTTACATCCTTTTCGGTTTCTCCACACCTTCCCAAACAAAAAAAATTGTGACAACGCATGTACAAACAACGAAAATAAAAGAAACGAGCGATGTCGTAATAAATCAAAATATTTATTTCAGGTGTTCGTTAAGTTCGTATAGGGAAACCGGGCAGGCAGGCGGCGTGGATCGTTTTAAAATACGTTTTCATGTTGGGAACTTCTAATTCTTCTTAATACCACGTTACATAACCAGTTTTACAGGATATTGTTTCGGGTAGCGACTTTAATTTGGATTTCATAGAAATACAATTCGGTGTCTTGTATCTCATATGTTAGACTGGAGATTTATAAAGATGTACACGGAGAAAAATTAAATATCTATATGATACAATAAAAATTGTATCGAAAATTAGACTCTTAGAAGAAAATTGGTACTAAAAAAAGTATTACCTGTGAACAGTGTTGCCAGAATATATTTTTGTAATGTACCAGATTTCATAAAAACGTACTAGATTCTATAAATTTACCAGATATTTTTAATTATGAAGTATGGTCATTAAAGAGCCAAAAAAGGTTTACAGAAAACACGAACACAACATTTTTAAACAATATTTTATCTCTCGACAAATTTCTGACACTATTTTATCTCTTGAGCAGTTTTTGAATAAGATTTTAATACCTTTTGATACACTTTTATCTTTCGAACATTTTTAAATCTTTTTTTATCTCTTGATCTATATTTAAACAATATTTTAACTTTCGATAAATTTCTAACATTATTCTATCTCTCGAGTATTTTTTAACAACTTTTTTATCTCTTTAGCAAACTGCACAATATTTTAACTCTCGACAAATTTATAAAAATATTTTAACTCTCGATAAATTTTTAATAATGTTTTATATCTCGAACAATGTTTGTACAATATTTTATCTCTCGAGCATTTTCTAATAGTATTTTATCGTTCGAGGAATTTTTAAACAATGTTTTATCTCTCGAGAAATGTCTACTATTTTATGTCTAAAGTAATTTTTAACAACTATTTTAATTTCTCTTGCAATTTCTGACCAATATATTTTACACTTCAAATGGAAACATACGCTGAAAAAAGTACTAGGTATTGTTTCGGCGTACTAAAGTACCAGATTCTCAGAGAATGTAGCAGATCTAGTACAATTGTACTAAACTGGCAGCACTGCCTGTGAAGAATGATTGATGAATTATCCCGTAGAAATATGATGTCAAGACAGAATGTCTGTTTGGCAGATATAATTTACTAGTTTGTCTTAAAATAATTTATGTGATATATGCTTCAAAAAAATTTTTTTTTCGCTCTTACCCTCTCAAATGTTTCTGTTTAATATAAAACAATCCTCACCAAACATGAGCGTTCCAGCTCATCTCTAAGAGGTCGTTGTTTTTATTTTAGTTTCCCATTTAATTAACATGGAAAAAAATAATTTTGTTTGGAATTTTATATCTCTGTATCAAAGTAACTTATGGCAATGATCATTGCAGGTTCTTATATAAAGTTTAACGCTCTACAAAAAAGGTATCTTATGATTTTTCGATAAATTGATTTCTTCTAGCAAAATGGGGTACCAAAAAAATTTCGTAAATTTTTATTTTTTTTTAATAATAGTTTTTTTTTTTCGGTTTCTTAATCATTTGAAAATATATTGACTCTCAAGCTCACGTCTGTGGAATTCCTAACTTTACCGATTATTATTCGCGCTGAAAAGCAGCCTATAGATTAACTACACGTGATTACAACGTTGCCAAACATTATTCCCGGAAAGCGAATATTTTTAAATGTAATGAAAGTGTCAGTAAACGGTTTAAACATTTAAATAACTTTTATTAAAGCAATATAAATAATAACTTAAACACCTTACATATTTTTCGTTGCCAATATGATTGGCACTTAAATTGGTCAACAATTTTCACAATTACTATGGGTACGCATTTATGATGTTCAAATATCTATTTATCAGGTACTAAAGGATGTTATCATCATTTTTCAATTTAACAATTTCGTTACTAGATATTTAAGGAATTTCAATATTACTGTAAATTGCCATGCAGTGTGCTATATGCGGCAGTAACCATCAAATTGATTATATTAGTTGGAACCTTGTTGCAGGAATTTTAATCAAGTCTTTTTTTTTGTAAACGATGAAATTTTAATAGAATTTGAAACATTCAAAGTAATGAAGTGTATATATAGGGTGTTTACTAACTATGGTACAAAATGGTTTTATGAAAAAAAGTATATATATAAATGAATATATGTCCAAAAAAATTTGGGTATTTTATAAATATCCTTAACCCCATTGGGTTTAAATTTGGTATAGCTATTTAACGTAATAAAGCACTTATTTAGTCCTAATTAGATTGAAATTATTGGGTCCAGTGGCGTCTCAATGGGTACCGCAACCAATATTACTGAGAAAAAAATGTACAGACACTCATTTTTTGTAGATTTTGTATTCTTTTTCAGTTTAATCAACTAAAATACAACTTTTTAGTGCAGTGTGTTTTCTTCGT